CGTTACCCGACTCAAGCTTGACCCAACCCGAACCCGCCCGTAAAGGTTATAAAATTAACCCGAAATGACCCGACCCGAGTTGACCCGACCCACACTTACTCGACCCAAATCCGACCTGTTTACCCGAATTGACAGCTCTAGTTGTAACTTCACCCAAAGCATGTGTTTTCCAATTTGAATGAGTAAATAGTTTGTGAATCTTTTTTTACTTTTATTTCTATTTTGCAAAAGGTAGTAGATTGTCACTGTACAGGTTGTAGTTTAAATTATGTAGTTTGGAAAATATTGATATGACAACCCCAAATCATAGGGAATGTACTGTATAAATTAAACATTTACATTTTAAATATAGTATTGTAAGTTCTTATCTCAAAAAAAAAAAAAAAAAAAAAACCTTCCTATGACTTTATGAATGTTAGTTTATTTGAGACATTATAAAGGTGTGCCTAAAATATAGCCTTGAAACCTATTCGCTCTGTCCCTATTTTTATCTCCCATTTGACTATGTACGGTCTCTAAGACGCGTATTAAAATGTCTATAACTTTATTTCCATACACGTAAAAATTATAAAAACGTGATATTAATAAAATATACAATGAGACGAATCTAACAAGACCACTCATGACTATATTATCTTTTATACATTAACGGTAATTTATGGTCAAAATTTTCAAAATTTGACCCTAAAATAGACAATGGAGCATAAATAAGAGACAGAGGGAGTATCAATTACTATCACACACGTACCTATAAATCACTTTATACATATTCACCTAGTCATCTTACAATTATTTACCGGTTCATCCTCCTTGTAACATAGATATTTAGTCCAACAGTTTTAGGAGTTGATTAGTGAAGGTAAATATATAATTGTCAAAAATACTAAAATTCGGGAAAAGTTGGATACCACGTGTAAAAATTATTTTGATTAATTTGTCCATCTTCATTATGTAATCTCGGTCTCAAAGTGCGTGCCATATGATAGAATTATGAGAAAGAGAATGTTGGAAAGTTTAATTATATTGAAGAGTATACAAGACTATTTATAGTACATAAGCAAACATTATACTATGACTAGATGTATTAGAGTATATGTCTAGGTACATTAGACAATATTTAGGGAAATTTTTAACAATCAACCTAAATGAGTAAATCAAGGGATTACACAATATTACACAATTAACTATATATAAACAATAATTAATAATAATAATGATGATTTAGTCATTATTACCCTTTACCCCAGAAGGTTGTGTTGTAAGTAAATAAAAAAGGAGGAAATATTATCACTATCAAGTATTATTTCATATTTGAATAAACCCTCTCAATCTGTAATTTATATTACAATATTAATAAAATACTGAGTATTTAATTATTAATTTTATGAGATTTTGTTAGTATTTTCTTAATATCAATTTATCACAATACATACGGAGTAATATATTATATACTTTGTACATTAAAAGATCCTAATGAATGTAACGATAACGAACAAATGCTAGCATTAGATACGCTATGAAAAAGAGGTTAATTCTTCGATTACAATCAGATGAGTTAGACGAAAATTTTCTTCATGATTACAATAGATTGATAGACCCCCTCGTTAAAGAAGACTGTAAATCAAAGCGATATGATCGAAAGAGAGTATAAAGAATGTACGATTTGCAACAACGATCATAGCTCTGCTGAAACGATGTTTTTATTTGATTCAATTGTCATATATGTATTAAATTTAAATCTCTTTGTACATGTCATATAACTTTTTATTTATGAATCAATCTTTATTAAAAAAAAAAAGGATACATTAAGAAAAATGTTGCAATAATAAAAAGACAAAAAAAAATGTAATTTTATTTTTTTTAAAAATACAATAAATAAACAAATTAATCATGCATTCTTATGATTGGTGATGGGCGGTGGGAGGGAATGAGAGGAGAGTACTCTAGCTATGTGATCTCCATAAGATTGAGATTAAAGGCTATTATAAAGACATCTTTGTCTTCATTTCTGCTTTATTTTTCCGATCTACTTTCCATCATGCCCATCAATTTTACGGATCCAAATCCATCCATCTTCACCATTTTCTTTCTTTCTTTCTTCACCAGTTCATTTGTCCTGAATTTTATCATTATCCAAAAGAAATTTTGACTTTTGGTACCACAAAAAGTCCTGTTATTAAATTTTGCTACCGCTAAATTTTTATTTTTTATTTTACTACCACTACAAATCAGGTTTTTTTAAAACTGATACCAGTTGACGGAAACTGTTAGATTAGCCGTTTGTGGGGCCCACGCAGTTAACTAACGTTTTGTTTCTTCATTATTGTTGCTTTCCCCTCCCTTTTCCCTCCATTGAATACGCTAACCCCCACCCACATTGTACTCCATTGAAGGCATAATTTAATTTGTGTTCCCTTTCAATTCTCTCTCCACTGTCACCATCTCTATCTCTTTGGAGGTGTACTGTAAATTCTGGAAATTGAAGCGCGTGGAAGGTCGAACACCATCTGCAAATTGAAGCGTCATCTCCATTGTGGAAAGCTGAACATTCTCCTGACAACCACCTGTTTGAAGGTACGAAACCTTGTTTATTTATAGTGGTCCAACAATGGTGGTAATTTCGCAATAATGCATTGTAGTTGGGGTATTTTTGGGAGAATTTGCAGTTAAACCTAGGTTACTGAGTTGTGATTTTTTAAAGCGTTGTTTGACTAATTAAAAATTGATTCTTGCAGTCATGTGGTAGGGTATGGGGGTATATTGAGATGCCTTTTTTGTTAATGCATTGATTTAGTTACAGTTAAGAATAAAATAGTGTTTGATTTATTGAATCTTTAATTTATTTGTTTATTGCTATTTAATTGTAGATAAATACCAATGGCTGTTATTGATAATGAGGTTGACATTAAGCTAAGAATATATGGGGGTTTTGTGATTAAGAACCGTAGGGGAGGAGGGCAGTACCAAGTGTATGAAGCTGGGTTCACTTATTGGAAAAGGAATGTGCCTCTCAATTACTTTTCAGTAGGATACTTAAGGTATTTATGTATTGAAGGGATTAGGGACATGGGGTGGGATGTACCTACCCTATATGCTGTGTGGTTCAAAGAGAAGGGTAAGTCTTGGATGACTGGTAAAAGAAAGATAGAAACTGATGAGGATGTACAAGGTTTATTAGATGCCAAGCACTGGGATGGGTATCTAGAGCTGTTTTGTACTGTTGCTGATGACCCTAGGCCTAATGAGGACCCCAAAAGCATTGTGGCTGAATATAATGGCCCCACCTCAATCCCAGAACAATCCAACTTGAATGACAGTGCATCCAACTGGACTGGACATGTGTCTGGCCAGACTTTTACTGGATCCAATCCAACCCAACAAGAGCCAACCCAACAGGAGCCAACCCAACAAGAGGCAAACCAACAAGAGCCAACCCCACTTGAAACCCATTTGTCTACCCAAACTGCTACTGTATCCAACCCAACCCAAACACAACCATCCCAAACACAACAAAGCTCAGTTCCACCTCAAACCCAGAAAAAAGCAGAAGAAGCTAATGACCTTGTCTTAAGAAGGAGCCCTAGACTTTCTAAACAACCTGAAACAGAGCTTTGTGTGAGCAGATTGAGGAGAAGCCCTAGGTTTTGTAGATCTATTGATAAGGGGAAGGGTAAGGTTGTAGAAAAAGATGGTGATGGGGATGTGAGGCTGAAAAGGGTATAGGGCAGGCTAATGTGAAATTTAAAGCAAGGAGGGCTCTTAAATTGGGGGAAGAAGATGAATCAGGTTCTGGGTCATCAAGCTCAGATGCAAGTGATCTAGAAATTGATTGGGAGCCTGGGGAGGAAGAGGCCCTAAGTGATGATGCTGATTGGCATAGGCAGACTAAGGCTGACATCTTATCTGCAGTAGAAAATAGCTTCCAGGTTGTGAAATGCAGTGGTCAAAGTTCACAGGGTGTAGGTGTGGACAGGGAGGAGGATGTGAAACAGTTGAGTAAGGACATTGGATGAGAGGAAGTTGATGTTCATGATGAAGGTTCTGAGTCAGATGAGCTAAAGAGTTTATAGGGGTCAGATGAGGAAGAAGATGACAGTCCCTGGTTTCATGAAGAGACTGATTTCAAGAACCCAATTGTGATAGTGAAAAAGTTGAGGTTCACCAACAGCACAATTCTAAGAAAAGCCTTGAGGATACATGCAATAGAGAACAGATATGAGTATTACTATCTGCACAATGGTGGTAAAAGGATTACCACATTTTGTAAGAGAAGGTGTAAGTGTAAGTGGAATTTCAAGAGAAGCAAAGTGACTGGGGTCTGCAATTGTAGTGTTAGGGTGAAGAAGTGCAGTTTTAAGGTTTCTGCAAGAAGGGTGGTCAACAGTGATGCTTGGCAAATCATAGACTTTAGGCCTAAGCATATGTGTATGAGAAGTAAAATGAATTCAATGGTGAATGCTGAGTTTCTTGCTGAGAGGTATGTTGAAGAATGGAGGCACAACCCAAGTTGGGATCTAAAAAGTTTCAGAGCTAGGGTGCTTAGTGACTTAGGCATAATAGTTAAGTACTCAAAAGCATGGCTGGCTAGAGCTAGGGCAAAGCTGATGATTTATGGGTCAGCTTGTGAGCAATATGCCAGAGTTTGGGATTATGGCAAAGCTGTAATTAAGTACAGCCCTGGGTCTGGGGTGGCCATAGTTGTAGATGTTAATGAAAGCAGACCAGAACCCCCATTGTTTATGAGGATGTACATTTGTTTGCAACCACCAAGAAGTGGTTTCATAAAGGGATGCATGCCTCTAATAGGACTTGATGGGTGTCACCTGAAGGGAGCCTACCCAGGGCAAATTCTTGTGGCAGTTGGAAAAGATGGAAACAATAACATTTATCCAGTGGCCTGGGCTACTATTGAAGTTGAGATTAAGGAATCATGGTGATGGTTCCTAGGCTGTTTGAAAAAGGACCTTGGTGATGTGTGTGAAGGTGGTGGTTGGACATTCATGTCTGACAGACAAAAGGTTAGCCTTCATGTACCTAATTACAGTATTATTAGTACCTAATATGATATGAGCTGTTATGAACTTAACTGTTGATTTATAATGTGGCAGGGTCTACTTGAAGCCTTGGAATTGCAAGTCCCATTTGCTGAGAAGAGGTTTTGTGTGAGGCATATATGGGCCAATTTCAAGCTTCAATTCAGTGGATCAACCTTCAAAGAGCTCTTCTGGAATGCTGCTAGGGCTACAACAGTGGTAAGTTACTCTAACTAATTCAATAAAGTAGGACAAGCACATCAGTTTAAACATAGGTGTTTAGTAGGTTGCAAAATTTGTAGCTACATTTTTGATATATTTTGATGCTATGAATCATGATGGTACATTTTGCTGCCTTGAATAATGCATCCATATTTTTGATGCTATAATTCTGCTGAACTAGGATACATTAATAATTGTTGTGATGGTTTTTGAATGATGTGATAGGCTGACTTTGAGGTGGAAATGGAATCCATACATTTCCTGTCTGAAGATGCATAGGTGTATCTAGATAAAATTCCTGCTAAGCGGTCTATGCATGCTTTTTCTAGTGACTGCAAATCAAATATGTTGTTGAACAATGTCTGTGAGACATTCAATGCTGTTATAAGAGATGCAAGGGATAAGCCAATACTCACTCAAATGGAGTGGATGAGAAGATATATGATGAAGAGGCACAATGAGAAATGGGTGGCAGCTAATAAGATGGATGGGAAGCTCATGCCATATGTGACTAATCTGTTTGAGAGGATTGAGAAGGCTACAAGGCACTGTATAGTGCAGGTTTCAAGGGGAGACTCCTATGAGGTTGAGCTCAATGGTGATACAGTTCTGGTTGACTTAGGTAACATGACTTGCACATGTTACCATTGGCAGTTGACTGGTATTCCATGTGTGCATGGATATGCATGCATTTTGGACAAGAGGGTGGACCCAGAAGACTATGTGGATGGGTATTACACAAGGCAGAAATATTTGTATGCATATGAGGAACCTGTGAAGCCTATGCCTGGACCCAAGCATTGGGAGAAGCATCATCATCTAAGACAGCCCTGCCTCCAGCAGTAAGAGTTATGCCTGGTAGGCCTAAGTCAAAGAAAAGAAAGTTGGAGAGAGGAGAGGGAGCATCTGAAAGCAGTGGCAGCCAGCAAAAACAACAAAAGAGGCAAAATAGGTGTGCAAACTGTGGACAACTTGGTCATTATGCCAAGACTTGTGGCAATCCACCATTGCAAGCTCCTGCACCTCCACCAGATGCCAAACTAGCATGCAAACCAGTTTTGCAAAATGCTTGGAACAAGGAACAAAGAAGAAAGAAGGAGGCAAGGGCTGCAATGAAGGTGTGTACATTATCAAGCCTAACACACTACATGTCTACTGCTTTTTTGGATAAACTAAGATTTTTTTTTTTTTTGACAGACTGGTGGAACTCCTGGGCCATTCAGCATAGCAAACCAAAAATTCCCTCAACAGAGGCCATCCCAACAACAACAACCTGCACCCTGCACCCAAGCATCCCAGGCATCAACAACAACAACTGCAGCAAAAAAGAGAACAACAGCAAAACAGCCAACAAGAAAGCAAGGAAAAGGGAAAATGAAGAAGAATTAGAGTGTAGTTTTTAGTCCCTAGACTTTTAGCTTCCTGGATATTGTACCCTGCAACTTTCATTCTATGGTTTTTAAGACAACTTAGTTTTGCTAGTATTTGTCTATAACAACTAGTTCTGTGGAATATAACTGTGATGGTTGCCAAGCACTTTAGTGCTGAAATTGCTATGACAGACTATTTGATTGCCACATTTATTTATTGCAAATATCATTCACATAAATACACCAACAATAACTAAATACACCAACATTAACTAAATATCATTCATAAACAATTCAAAGTCTTACATTTGGAAGTTGTTGTCTTACACCAACATCATCTAAATACACAACTTGTAACTGTAACCAAGTTGAATCTCATTTCAATACAAGTAACACAATTATAATCAGAAATAAACAACATATGGTCATTGCTAGGACAATTGTGCATCCACCACCATATTTGTATTGGCTTTCCTTGCTGTATTTCTTCCTCTCAGAACTTAAAGCTTTGCACTTCACTAGCAAGTTGTCATTCTCACTTAGCAAACACCTTCTTTGGCCACTTAAATCTTCAACTTCTCTCTGTAGTGAGTTTATTTCCCCCTTCATCAATTTCTTGTCAAGTATTGATTAATGACATCCCTTTGCCAGTCTGTGCCATCTTCCTCATCCACCCACTCAAAGCACTTGCAACCCCTACTTTCTGTTTTAGGATCATAGAATTTGCAGGCTTTGAACTTCCTTCCAGGATTCTCTCTTGTCTATGATGTCAGCTTAGCCATAGGTATCCCACAGTCACACTTCCTTTGTTTGGAGGGAGAAAACCTCATCAACGACATTTACCCTGCAATTCAACCAAATTAAGCAACAACTATAATCACACATTCATTATTAAACAAACATCACCTTCAATTACTCCCTACAGTATCACAAATCAAAACCCCTAATTTCAATTCGGGTAAGAACCCTAAATCGAATTACTGGTATTAACTACCAATTACACCATTACTAAATCCTATTCAGATTCTACATCATTCCTAAACAATCGCAATTACAATTAACCAACAACAATTCGTAACAAATTTGCAATTACAATTAACCAACAACAATTCGTAACAAATTTGCAATTCCATCTTCCAATTGGTTTCGCAAAAAATAAATTAAAAATTGCTTTGAACAACTGTGCTCACCTTAGCCTAGATATGCTCTAGCAAATTCACCTTCGCAGCTGAACATTCTTCCCAATTGTTGTGATATGATTACGATTCCAACAAATTTCGCCTCTCACATGAGCTTTGAAGAAGTTGGGATCTTCAAAGTAAGTACTAATACACAATAAACAGACAAAAAGAACTGTTGCAGTGGGCCCCACAAACGGCTAATCTAACAGTTTTCGTCAACTGGTATCAGTTTTAAAAAAACCTGATTTTTAGTGGTAGTAAAATAAAAAAAAAAAAAATTTAGCGGTAGCAAAATTCAATAACAGGACTTTTTGTGGTACCAAAAGTCAAAATTTCCTTATCCAAATTCAATAATATGTAACGTAATACGCGTACTCTATAATACTAATGGGTTTTATACCACGTATGTATATATGTATACAAAAAATGCGTTATTGTATACAACACAATTTTTTTTTTACCGTATCTCAACCCTCACGGTTTTTTGGTCCGGTATTTACAGATTAGACACTTTGAGATAAAGATAAAAGACGCTACCGAAGCGACACCTTTTACAAGTTTAGCCAGCCTAGCTCTGCAGGTCAACGCTTGAAAGTAGAGGGGGGAGGTAAGGGAATCCTCCTACTCCCAAGAATTTTGTAGTTAGCGGGGCTTGAACTCGTGACCTCAAAGTCACAAGGTGAGTTCTCCACCAACTTCACCAAGCTTTGATTAGTACTATATGTAGTATATGTAATACTTCGTATATTTAGTGTGTATAAAACTTGGTCTTCCATATATACTCGTAACAAGATTATTTATGGCCATTAATGTATTTTGAACTAGGCAGTTGTGTTAGAACAAAAGCTTTATATTATGGTCTACTCTTAGGCTCTTAGCATATCTATACTAAGATTGTTGTTGTTTACATTAAGATCTATACTTTTTTTTTTTTTTTTTTTTTAGTTTAAAAGGGTATGGGTAACAACACTTCTTAATAAAAAAAAACTGAAAAATTTAGGTCAAGTATGTACTCATAACAAATAAATTTTGACCTTTTTTTTTATATAATATTCTTTATACTCTATCATGTACCCATAAAATTTTAATTAAATTTGCATAATTTCATATGGTATATTATTTACTATCAATCTATCACACAGCTAAAAAGATAAAAAGAATAATAATAACGTTTACTACAACTTGATGCATGCAGTGAGCATTAATGCAGAGGTTGACCCAGTAGATTTAGTATATAGTGTAATGCTCTCAAGTGTAGAACAGTGTTAGTATTAGGAAAGAGTTTCCTAAAATAGAAAGTTTCTCTGCTAACACATTAAGTTCACTTGTAGACTAGCTAGCTAAGTAGAGAAGTACCATTGGAAAATATAATTGTATAAGGCTTTCAAGTTAATTAGTGTCAACTTCCATTGAAGAAACTGGAAGGTCCAAGAATCAAAGATAAGAAAATCCAAGAATTATTCTGATTCCTTTTGATGATGATGAATTGATGATCATGATAGGATATATGCGTGATTTATAATACTATGACCATTTGAGCACAATCACCAACATATTCTTCAATTTTCAAAATATATGGTCCGAAACCCTAAATTCTTTGCTTCATGGAGTATCGAAACTAATTCTTGTTGTATACCGTCTTCCATTTTTATTGTCCTTGCACGTAATTAAAATTGAAGTATGTGGACTTACTGACTCTTATATGTGATCTTATAATCTGGTCAATCGTATATTTCTGCTACGAATTAGTATATGGAGGATATAACTTGGGCTTTGTGTTTTTATTCAGGTGATGAGGAGGATATAATAACCTTAATTAATTCAATCTTGCTTCCATTTGACACAAAGATTCGATTAGGAAAAATTGTCAAAAGTAATTAAGAGAAAAGTATGTAGTGACAAAGTATTAGAATTTAGAAGGAAAAAAAGTCATGATGTGATGTAAAGAAAATGTAGCTTTAACCTGGGGAATGAAAGAAAATGAAGTTTATTTTGGAACATACCAAAAAAGAGGAAGTGTGTCTTTGCTAAACCACCATATAGTTAAGCTTAATTAAATTTGTGTCATATTTTCCTAGGAAGCTAGATTTTTTTTTTTTTTTTTTTTTTTTTGACAATAGGAAGCTGGAATATACCTATGTTATCATAATTTATGAACTCTGACTTTGAAAATATTCCGCGTATGCAGTTATGCACTAGCGTTATATGATTTACTACCAACGCAAACCAATTATTTTTTTACAAGATTTGAAGTAACTTGAGACCAATTAGAACATGCTTTGAATTATTATCATCTTAGGATTCTTAGCCATCTAATGTATTATTAGTATGTACATTCCTATATTATTTTTTGGAAGAAAAAAATGTACATTATATTCCTATTATGCAATTTAATAAAGGGTAAAATAAAGGTCTAGATAAGTTTTTGAGATTAATACATAAAAAACAATAAAACTAAAATAATGAACCTTTTATCTCAGCTCATCGATCTTATGACACGTGTAAACACTATAATGTACTCCAATATTTATACGGAGTAACAATTTTGGACATTGTAAGAGACATACACACACTATCTAGTTGCATTATCATATTAAAAGAAACGTTTTACACTTGTCATTTTTTTCCTTGATAGAATGATTTCCTAAGATCTTGTGTGATGAATTTAAAAAAATAAAATTGTACTATACGTTAAACATAAAAATGTCTAGAAAACCCAATTCATACGGACTAAAAAGCCATATACGATGGGTTCAAGATCGAATTGAAATAGAAGAAACAAAAGCATAGAAGAAAGCAAAATTTTGTTGATGATTTCCTAAAAATTAATATCAAGTGGAAGTGGACAGCATGCAAGGAATCTACTAGTACCGATTTGAAGCAATAAAGAGTAAAGTTGAAGGTGTTTTGATTGAATGATTTTTACTAGTTTTTGAAATTTGATAGAGATAATAATGAAAAATACAAAAGTTAATGCTTTGTTACACATCTTTATTACCCAAATGATATATATATGCTTCGTGTTTACCCAAAAGATGACCAGGCCAAAAATGTAAAATGAGGCAATTTCTAAAGGACAGACAGTGTACATACATAAACATATTTACATATGATGATACATCTGAGGTGTCGAAAATAACCCAACCTTACCAAATTCGGTCAAGTAATCCAACTTAGATTTCAATCGGTATGTGCATAATAATTTAGTATGACTCAAATCCAAATCAGACCAGCCCGACTAGATCTAACCGAACTAAACCCAATTACTCAAATTGACACCTCTACAATACAAGAA